CCTTATCCCCTAAAGCTCCCGGCGCAGAAAATCATCAGCTATAAATCTACGTCTATACCAGAAATGGATTAACATGTCCAATAGATTTATTGCAATGCACCTCCGCGTTCAGACAATGGCGGAAGTGGGTGAAGGGCAAAACCCTCCAGTGGTAGGGTCAGGTCCTCAAGGGGCTGGAATTCACCTCTTGAGAACTATTACTACTTCTAGTAATAGTAGTAGTAGTAGTAGTAGTAGGAACTGTATAGCCAATATGAGTTCGTGGAGGGGAAACAAGAATATGACACAGAAGGACTGAGATATCTCACAGTACCCATAAGTGCACACTAGACACTCACTTCACGTGTGCTTATTTTTTGCACAGATCCTGGGAAGTGGTAGTATACCTTAGATTGGGGTGGGCTTTTAAATGAGCCAAGTCAGTGATAGCAGCTCTTAGCCTGCAGAATTGATCTGTGTAAAAAAAAGTGACAGAACTTTACTGTCCTCCTTCAGGGTTGGGCAAATGTTTTGTTAGTGGGATGAATTGTAAAGGACCTGCCTAGTATGGGCCAACAGGCCTGCTGCAGTGTTCCTCCTTTCTTATGTTCTTATGTTCAGTACTCAAATCCGACTAACCATTTTCCTTGAATCCCTTCATATATGTTACCATGCTCACACTCCAACAGCACGTCAGCTTATAAATATCATTTACCTACATTCTCCCCTATCTAATACACTCACACACCCTTGCTGAATGTCCAAGTTCCTTGTATATAAAACCTCCTTTTCCACCTCCCTCAACTACTTTGTTTTCATTGTCAATGGCTTCCTTCCAACTAATTTAATATGAAAATTGTATTTAACAAATTGGATAATTAGCTTTTATTTTGTACCACTTCAGATCGGCTTGAAACTTTCTTAGAGAGTGATTTGGAGTGGCTTAGGATTATGCAGGTGTCATTTTACAAATCTTATTCAATAAATATGGATATTGGTTACCGTGCCATGTCTTGTAAATGCCTCGTTTAAGCTCATGTTCAACGCTTATGCATCTGGCTTACCTGGAGTCTACCTGGAGGGTATTCCGGGGATCAACGCCCCCGCGGCCCGGTCCATGACCAGGCCTCCCGATGGATTAGGGCCTGATCAACGAGGGTGTTACTACTGGCTGCACGTAGTCCAACGTACGAACTACAGCCCGGCTGATCTGGCACTGTCTTTAGGTATCTGTACAGCTCCCTCTTGAAGACAACCAGTGGTCTATTGGTAATTCCCCCTTATGGCTGGTGGGAGGCTGTTGAACAGTCTTGGGCCCAGGACACTTATTGTATGTTCTCTTAGTGTACTAATGGCGTCCCTACTTTTCACTGGCGGTATGTTGCATCGCCTGCCAAGTCTTTTGCTATCGTAGGGAGTAATTTTTGTGTGCAGATTAGGGAGCAGTACCTCCAGGATCTTCCGGGTGTAGATTATGATGCATCTCTCTCTCTTGTGCTCCAGTGAGTACAAGTCAAGTACTTTCAAGTGTTCCCAGTAGTTAAGGTGTTTGATGGAACTTATATGTGCAGTAAAGGTTCTCTGTACATTCTCTAGATCTGCAATTTCACCTACCTTGAATGGGGATGTTAATGTACAGCAGTATTCCAGCCTAGAGATAACAAGTGATTTATAAAGGATCAACTTTGGCTTATCATCTCTTGTCTTGAATGTTCTCATTATCCATCCTATCAGTGTCCTCGTAGATGTGATAGTGGCACTGTTGTGGTCCTTGAAGATGAGATCCTCAGACATTACCACTCCCAGGTCCTTCACATTACTTTTATGTTCAACGCTTGTGTATCTGGCTTAGAGAAAGTTTCGTTTTGTTATTGTGTTGCGGCCAATTTTTCATTTTTATAAGCTACTGGGATTTTCATGGATGTAGCTGTACTCACCTAGTTGAGGTTGCAGGGGTCGAGTCCTAGCTCTTGGCCCCGCCTCTTCACTGGTCGCCAGTTTTTTATATAGATAAAAATTATTTGTTTCCCTAAAGGACTGCAGAGCATTAAAAATTCTTTTCGAGTTATGAAGAGAAAAACCTCAGAATTAATGAAAAAAATTTTTTTTATGTATGTCTTGAAATATAATAAATTTCGGTGTCTGCTCGGGCAGTGAAAATGGTCATTTCTGCTGCGCTCAGTTTCCGGTCTTCCATGCGGGTTGTGGTTGGTGCGGCAAACAGTAACAGCCTGGTTGATCAGGTCCTGATCCACTATGAGGCTTGGTCACAGACCGGGCCTCGGGGGCGTTGACCCTAGAAACCCTCTCCAGGTATACTTCAGGTATAATCGTAATTAGGCGCTAAAATCACAAGGGTCATACAGCATTAAGGATAAAAACAAAAGACTGGTAAATAATAAACACTTGTTTTTACTACAGTGTTGAGGTGTGAAGAAATTTAGTTGCATTTGTCCCCTCAGCGAAAATAGAATTAACATATGTACTCTCATATTAACATATGTACTCTCATATTAACATGTTTACTCTCATATTAACATGTGTACTCTCATATTAACATATGTACTCTCATATTAACATGTGTACTCTCATATTAACATGTGTACTCTCATATTAACATATATACTCTCATATTTACATGTTTACTCTCATATTAACATATGTACTCTCATATTAACATGTGTATTCTCATATTAACATGTGTACTCTCATATTAACATATATACTCTCATATTTACATGTTTTTCTCTCATATTTAAAATGTGTACTCTCATATTAACATATGTACTCTCATATTAACATATATACTCTCATATTAACATGTGTACTCTCATATTAAAATATGTACCTCATATTAACATGTGTATTCTCATATTAACATGTGTACTCTCATATTAACATATATACTCTCATATTTATAGTTTACTCTCATATTAACATGTGTACTCTCATATTAACATGTGTACTCTCATATTAACATATATACTCTCATATTAACATGTGTACTCTCATATTAACATATGTACTCTCATATTAACATGTGTATTCTCATATTAACATGTGTACTCTCATATTAACATATATACTCTCATATTTACATGTTTACTCTCATATTAACATGTGTACTCTCATATTAACATATGTACTCTCATATTAACATGTGTACTCTCATATTAACATGTGTACTCTCATATTAACATGTGTACTCTCATATTAACATATATACTCTCATATTAACATGTGTACTCTCATATTAACATATGTACTCTCATATTTACATGTTTACTCTCATATTAACATGTGTACTCTCATATTAACATATGTATTCTCATATTAACATGTGTACTCTCATATTAACATGTGTACTCTCATATTAACATGTGTACACTCATATTAACATATGTACTCTCATATTAACATATGTACTCCCATATTAACATATGTACTCTCATATTAACATGTGTACTCTCATATTAACATGTGTACTCTCATATTAACATATTTTACTCCTCTATTAACATGTGTACTCTCATATTAACATGTGTACACTCATATTAACATATGTACTCTCATATTAACATATGTACTCCCATATTAACATATGTACTCTCATATTAACATGTGTACTCTCATATTAACATGTGTACTCTCATATTAACATATGTACTCTCATATTAACATATGTACTCTCATATTAACATGTGTACTCTCATATTAACATGTGTACTCTCATATTAACTTATGTACTCTCATATTAACATGTGTACTCTCATATTAACATGTGTACTCTCCTATTAACGTATGTACTCTCATATTAACATGTGTACTCTCATATTAACATATGTACTCTCATATTAACATATGTACTCTCATATTAACATTTGTACTCTCATATTAACATATGTACTCTCATATTAACATATATACTCTCATATTAACATGTGTACTCTCATATTAACATATGTACTCTCATATTAACATGTGTACTCTCATATTAACATATATACTCTCATATTAACATGTGTACTCTCATATTAACATATGTACTCTCATATTGACATATGCACTCTCATATTAACATATATGCTCTCATATTAACATATGTACTCTTATATTAACATATGTACTCTCATATTAACATATGTACTCTCATATTAACATATATACTCTCATATTAACATGTTACTCTCATATTAACATATATACTCCATATTAACATAATCTACTCTCATATTAACATATATACTCTCATATTAACATGTGTACTCTCATATTAACATATGTACTCTCATATTAACATGTGTACTCTCATATTAACATATATACTCTCATATTAACATATGTACTCTCATATTAACATATATACTCTCATATTAACATGTGTACTCTCATATTAACATGTGTACTCTCATATTAACATATGTACTCTCATATTAACATGTGTAATCTCATATTAACATATGTACTCTCATATTAACATGTGTACTCTCATATTAACATGTGTACTCTCATATTAACATATGTACTCTCATTAACATGTGTACTCTCATATTAACATGTATACTCTCATCTTTGAGCAGTACTGCGTCCTGATTTTCTGAGTCCTTTACTAGAAAATTATTTTCAGGGTCTCATTAAGGAGTTGCTTTACAGCTCCTGTGCGTCGAGGGCGTTAATCAAGAGTTACTGACCAGTCTCGAGGGTGTTAAGCTCCTGGGTCTCTTGAACATGATCTCCATTTCCTGGACCTACTGAAAGGCTTGAGCTCTAGCTCCTAGGTTTCCTGAGGGAGTTAATTTTCAGCATCCCTTCCCTTGTGTGCACTGCGGTGCGCAGAGCTAAGGTAATGGGGGGAGGGATTCCCTTCTCAGATAGAGCAGCGACTGAAACAGATCTTGTTAGGAAACTGTACGACTTGCTTAACAGACGTAAAAGCCCCACACGGGCCAGTACAGTCAAACTCGTCACAGGATGCGCAATGTATGACTATTAGGCAATGAAAGTAATAATCAGCTGCCGAGCGGTGTATGCGTCAGTGTACCAAGAGTGGTGGGAGGCCCAGCACTGACGAGGTTGTTAGCAACTGAAAGTCACGCGTATCTTTAAGCCAATGTATTCATATTTTACAAAGGTTTTAAGTTGCCCTTGAGTCGATAAAATAACAAGAAAATTTTATTTTGATTATTTGAGCAGCGAGAACGTTTTGGGTATATTTTTTAATGATATAAACACTCACTCTTTGGATTGAAAAATTTTCGACGTGTCTTACAAATGTAGGAAACTAAACGTTACTGAGACTTTGTTCTTTACGAGTGTGTTATATTACCTTTGAAAGATACAAAATCTTAATGTGAAAATTTTATATTCTGATTACGAAATACTGAGTTTTTGTTCTCTAAAAAATTAAAATGGAATAATTTTTACAAAGAGTGAAACTACAAAAGAGGATGACCTAAAAAAAAAATGAGAAAATTCCGAGTATGTGGAATTAGTATTTAAATATCCTAGTGTTGTGCAAACAATGTCTGTAAACCAGACAGAAGGCAATGGCGACACGATTAAGTTCACCTATGTCTACATGACCTTCAGTGCGGCAACTCTTGCAGAGTGTCTGTTGGCTGGATATGTAACCTTCCTTAACCGAGACTTGAGGAGGAAGCTCTCTTTCTGGTTCTCCAGCTCTCTTATGGTTAGCATCGGGATATTCTCGTCTCTCTCCTTTGTCTATGCGATAGTCTTAGTCTCGACACCCATATTACTGGATAATGTTCCAGCTAACTGCCAGGTTAAATTAGTGCAGAGGTACTTGAGTGCTGTGTGTTGCCTCAACATAACTTGCTTAGCACTTGACCGATATGTGGCCATATGTTGGCCACTCCGTTACAACAACATACTAACGGAAGCTCGTTGTCGCCAGCTGTGCATTGCCTGCTGGGTGTCACCTATTGTTTGTTTAATGTTGCCCTGCGTGAACATTTTGACAACAATGTGTTCGAAAAAAGGCAAAGATTTAAATTTTCTGGTGGCGTATAGCGTAGTATACAGTATCGGGGCTTTAGCGACTTTCATCTTTTATATCCTGGTGGCTCTTGAGTTTCGGCACGAGTTTCGTGGCCAGCCTCATGACGAAAATAAGGCGACAACTGAAGCACTAGTGCGACGCAAGACGGCTAAGTCGGCTCTCCAAGTCTTCATGTTGTATACAGTCCTCTCCGTACCCCACGTAAGTACTGTGTTTGTGTATGTATGAATGTGTGTGTGTATGTGTATGTGTGTGTGTACTCACCTAGTTGAGGTTGCGGGGGTCGAGTCCGAGCTCCTGTGTGTGTGTGTGTGCGTGTGTGTGTGCGTGCGTGTGTGAGTGTGTGTGTGTGTGTGTGTGTGTGTGTGTGTGTGTGTGTGTGTGTGTGTGTGTGTGTGTACTGACCTAATTGTAGTTGCAGGGGTCGAGACTCAGCTCCTGGCCCCGCCTCTTCACTGAGCGCTAATAGGTCTTCTCTCTCCCTGCTCCATGAGCTTTATCCTACCTCGTCTTAAAGCTATGTATGGTACCTGCCTCCACTACATCGCTCGCCAGACTGTTCCACTTCCTGACCACTCTATGACTGAAGAACTGCTTCCTAACATCCCTGTGACTCATCTGAATCTTCAACTTCAAAGAGTGACCCCTTGTTTCTGTGTCCCCTCTCTGGAACATCTTGTCTCTGTCCACCTTGTCTATTCCACGAAGTATTTTGTATGTCGTTATCATGTCTCTAATTTCTTAATGTGCTTGACCTGGTGCGGGTTCCAAACTGGTGCTGCATACTCCAATATGGGAATGACGTACACGGTGTACAGTGTCTTGAAAGATTCCTTACTTAGGTATCGGAATGCTAATCTCAGGTTTGCCAGGCGCCCATATGGTGCAGCAGTACTCATCTAATTGTGCTCACCTAATTGTGGTTGCAGGGGTCGAGACTCAGCTCCTGGCCCCGCCTCTTCACTGATCGCTACTGGGTCCTCTCTCTCTCTGCTTCCTGAGCTTTGTCATACCTCTTCTTAAAACTATGTATGGTTCCTGCCTCTACTACTTCACTTGCTAGGCTATTCCACTTGCTGACAACTCTATGACTGAAGAAATACTTCCTAACGTCCCTGTGACTCGTCTGAGTCTTCAGCTTCCAGTTGTGACCCCTTGTCCCTGTGTCCCTTCTCTGGAACATCCTATCTCTGTCCACCTTGTCTATTCCCCGCAGTATCTTGTATGTCGTTATCATGTCTCCCCTGACCCTTCTGTCCTCCAGTGTCGTCAGTCCGATTTCCCTTAACCTTTCCTCGTACGACATTCCCTTGAGCTCTGGGACTAGCCTTGTTGCAAACCTTTGTACTTTCTCTAACTTCTTGACGTGCTTGACCAGGTGTGGGTTCCAGACTGGTGCTGCATACTCCAGTATGTGTCTTGAACGATTCCTTATTAAGGTATCGGAACGCTATTCTCAGGTTTGCCAGGCGCCCGTATGCTGCAGCAGTTATTTGGTTGATGTGTGCCTCCGGTGATGTGCTCGGTGTTATGGTCACCCCAAGGTCTTTCTCCCTGAGTGAGGTCTGTAGTCTTTGTCCACCTAGCCTATACTCTGTCTGCGGTCTTCTTTGCCCCTTCCCAATCTTCATGACTTTGCATTTGGCTGGATTGAATTCGAGAAGCCAGTTACTGGACCACATGTCCAGCCTGTCCAGGTCTCTTTGCAGTCCTGCCTCATCCTCGTCCGATTTAATTCTTCTCATCAACTTCACATCATCTGCGAACAGGGACATTTCAGAGTCTATTCCTTCCATCATGTCGTTCACATATATCAAAAATAGCACTGGTCCTAGAACTGACCCCTGTGGGACCCCGCTCGTAACAGGCGCCCACTGTGATACCTCTTCACGTACCATGACTCGTTGCTGCCTCCCTGTCAGGTATTCCCTTATCCATTGCAGTGCCCTCCCTTTTACATGCGCCTGATCCTCCAGCTTCTGCACTAATCTCTTGTGGGGAACTGTGTCAAAGGCCTTCCTGCAGTCTAGGAAAACGCAATCTACCCACCCCTCTCTCTCGTGTCTTGCTTCTGTTACCTTGTCATAAAACTCCAGGAGGTTTGTGATACAGGATTTGCCTTCCATGAACCCATGCTGGTTTTCATTTATAATCTTGTTCCCTTCCAGGTGTTCGACCACTCTCCTCCTGATAATCTTCTCCATGACTTTGCACACAATACATGTCAGAGACACAGGTCTGTAGTTTAGTGCCTCGTTTCTGTTTCCTTTCTTAAATATGGGGACTACATTAGCTGTCTTCCATTTCTCAGGTAGTTGCCCAGTTTCAAGGGATGTGTTGAAGATTGTGGTTAGAGGCACGCACAGCATCTCTGCTCCTTCTCTAAGGACCCATGGGGAGATGTTGTATGGTCCCATCGCCTTTGAGGTGTCAAGGTCACTTAAGAGCTTCTTCACCTCCTCCTCAGTTGTTCGTATATCATCCAACACTTGTTGGTATATTCCCTCTTGATGTTCCCTTCTGTGCTGTCTTCCCAGAACCCTTCCTGTCTCTACTGTAAAAACTTCCTTAAATCTCCTGTTCAGCTCCTCACATACCTCCTGATCATTTCTTGTGAGTTCTCCACCTTCTGTCCTTAATCTGATCACCTGGTCTTTGACTGTTGTCTTCCTCCTGATGTGGTTATACAACAGTTTCGGGTCAGTCTTGATTCTCGATGCTATGTCATTTTCATACTGTCGCTGGGCCTCCCTCCTTACCTGTGCATACTCATTCCTGGCTCTGCAACTGATCTCCCTATTTTCGTGTGTTCTCTGCCTTCTGTACTTTTTCCATTCTCTATTGCACTTTGTTTTTGCCTCCTTACACCGTCGGGTAAACCAGGGGCTCGTTCTGGTCTTCCCGTTGTTACTGTTGCCCTTGGGAATAAACTTTTCCACTGCCTCCTTGCATTTTGTTGTTACATATTCCATCATTTCATTTACTGGCTTTCCTGCCAGTTCTCTGTCCCACTGGACCTCCCGCAGGAAGTTCTTCAACCCTATGTAGTCCCCTCTTTTATAGTCAGGCTTTTCCATTCAACTCCTGTTATTCTCTCCACTTGCAGCTCTACTATGTATTCAAAGCACAGAACCACGTGGTCGCTAGCTCCTAGGGGACTCTCATACTTGATGTCCTCAATGTCTGAGCTGCCCAGGGTGAACACAAGGTCCAATCTTGCTGGTTCATCCTCCCCTCTCACTATGGTAGTGTCCTTAACATGTTGGTGCATGAGGTTTTCCAGCACCACGTCCAACATCCTGGCTCTCCATGTTTCGAGACCCCCATGTGGCTCCAGGTTTTCCCAGTCGATCTCCCTGTGGTTGAAATCCCCCATAACCAGCAACTTTGCTCTGCTGGAATGAGCTCTTCTTGCCACCTCAGCAAGTGTGTCCACCATTGCTCTGTTGCTCTCTTCATATTCCTCTCTTGGCCTCCTGCAGTTCTGTGGTGGATTATACATCACTGCAATGACCACTTTGTGTTCCCCAGACTGAAGTGTACCTGCTATGTAGTCTCTTTCTCCCGTCTCATCAATGCCTTCCAATTTCTCGAATTTCCATCTGTTTTTTACGAGCAGAGCAACCCCACCTCCCCTTTTATCTTTCCTCATGATCTGGTATCCTGGTGGGAAGATTGCATCTGTTATTGTCTCCGTGAGTTTTGTTTCTGTAACTGCTATGATGTCTGGGGACTTCTCATTGATTCTTTCTTGCCATTCCTCATGTTTATTCGTTAATCCATCTGCATTTGTGTACCAAACCTTCAACTTCTGTTCTAATACTGTAACTGTGGTGCGGGGGGTGGAAACAGAGGGATCGGTGTGTGATGGTTGGTTTGGATTGTTCAGTTGCCTTGGGGGTGTCGTGGCTGGAGTCCTTCTGCAGGTGTTTCTGGGGGGTGTGCTTGTCCTTCTATTTGATCCTGGGTTATTCTGCTCCTGTGTATGTGTGTGTGTGTGTGTGTGTGTGTGTGTGTGTGTGTGTGTGTGTGTGTGTGTGTGTGTGTGTGTGTGTGTGTGTGTGTGTGTGTGTTTGTGTGTGTTTGTGTGTGTGTGTGTGTGTGTGTGTGTGTATGTGTGTGTGTGTGTACTTACCTATTTGTGATTGCAGAGGTTGATTCACAGCTCCTGGTCCCGCCTCTTTGCTAGTCACTACTAGGTGTACTCTCTCGCTGCTCCAAGAGTCTTAAAGTCCCTCTTCTTAAAGAAATGCGTGGATCCTACCTCCCCTACTTCACTCTCCAGATTGTTTCACTTCCTAACAACTCAAAGGCTGAAGAAGTACTTGCTAATATCCCTGTCTACCTGTAGGGTATTTCGGGGATCAACGCCCCCGCGGCCCAGTCCACGACCAGGCCTCCCGGTGGATCAGGGCCTGATCAACAAGGCCGTTACCGCTGACCGCACGTAGTCCAACATACGAACCATAGCCCTGCTAATCTGGCACCGACTCATTTGAGTTTTTAACTTCCAAATGTATCTCCTTATTCCTGTATCCCATCTCGGAAACATCTGGCTCTCTCTACCTAGTCAGCTCCTCTCAGTATTTTATACGTTGTTATCATAATTCCCCCTATCCCTCCTGTTCTCCTTTGTCCTTTAACCTCACCTCAACTTTTTGTACTTTCTCCAATTTCTTGACATGTTTGATCAGGTGTGGGTTCCATACTGGTGCTGCGTACCCCAATATGGATCTGACGTACATGGTGTACCGTGTCTTGAATGAATCCTTACTTACAAGTCGAAACACTATTTTTAGGTTTGATTTGCATCCATTATGCTGCAGGAGTTATTTGGTTTAATGCACTTCAGAGGATGGGCTTAGTATGATGCTCACCAAAGATCCTTTTCCTAAAGTGGGGTTTGCAGCCTTTTGACCTCTTGTGTGTATTGTCTACGGTCTTCTCTGTCCTTCCCCAAGCTTCATGACTTTGGACTTGGTGGGGTCAAACTCCTAGAGCCATTTGTTGAACCATGCTTATAACCTGTTCCGATTCCCTTGTAGTCTTTTCTGATCCTGGTCCGCTTGCATTTTCGTCATTAGTTTTACGTCGTCTGCGAACAGGAACGCATCTGACTATATCCATTCTGTCATGTCATTCACTAGGCCCTAGGACTGACCTTTGCGCTCACTCCGACACCTCGTCAGTCGCTGTTTCCT